GCTAGGTGGGAATGAAGGATTCTTCCATAGAGTCTTTAGAAATGCCGTGTCCCTGTAGACACCTTGATTTCAGACTTCTATCCTCCAGAACTGTGAGAGAATAAATTTCTGTTGTTTTAATCCACCCAATTTGCGGTAATTTGTAAGGCAGCCCTAGGAAATTAATACAGGAAGCATACGGAAATCAGAGACACTTGAACAAAGAGGTATTTCAAAAGACTTGGTTTAATTTTAATACTCTCCTCTAGGCCACATCTAGCCATCTAAGTTGGCTAAGCAAACATGAGCTGACCCTTCACTGGTGGAAATTTGGACAACTGCTGTGCATTCATGTAAACTAAAAAATAAAGAGAATAAAAGGAGGAAAAAATATTGATTTTAATCATTCCACTACAGTGACAATTCTTGTAACTTTTTGAGACTCTGTTAAATCACTGCCTCTGTTCTCTACTTTGTTTTTATAGTGAAGAACTAATTTTTGTAGCTGTTGTTTAGACATTTTCACAAATGCTAAGGAATGGTTTGGTTTAGACACCCAGAACTGCAGTACTGGCTAAGCCTCATGTGGATTTGCTCACGTCTTCTAGGGCTGTGTGATCAACAGCATTTTATACTTGATCTTGTTGGACATATGCTGTACTTGTTCAAGTGACAGAAAAGCTTAAGTGCATCCTAGAAGATCCTTTTTATGTTCTTTCTTTCCTAGAGAAGCATACAGGTAACTATAGATAAAATCAACATAAATGCTTGAGTATTCTAAACCAAAATATTTCTTTTTTTTTTTTTTTTGGGGAAGATCGGCCCTGAGCTGACATCTGCCAATCCTCCTCTTTTTGTTGAGGAAGACTGGCCCTGGGCTAACATCCGTGCCCATCTTCCTCTACTTTATATGGGATGCCGCCAGAGCATGTCTTGACAAGCAGTGCATCGGTGTGCGCCCAGGATGCGAACCGGCGAACCCCGGGCCGCCGCAGCGGAGAGTGCGCACTTAACCGCTTGTGCCACCGGGCCGGCCCCCAAAATATTTCAATTTTGGGCTAAGTTAGTGTATCTGCTGACCGTGATGAAAACAAAATCTGATTTTAGTCTAATATTAATACTATTTCTGTTCTATTTTATTAGTGTTTGTCTACTTCTCCTCTGAACAAACTTCTATTCATCTTTCAATGCCCTTCTCAAATGTCATGTCTTCTCAAAGCCTTCCCCAAGGCCAGACAGGATTAATAACTCTCTTCTTTGGGCTTCCATAGACTTCTGTTCTAATTGCTGCTATATTATGTATGTTATATTATGGTTAGTTGTTTGTTTATCCCCGTGATAGACAGTGAGCTCCCTACCCCTCTTTACATTTCCAGTTTCTAGCATTACGCCTGGTATAAAGCATGCACTTAATAGATGTTTGCTGAAGGAATGATGGATTTTTGATGACTGAAAGCTATTTATAAAAGTACTCTTCATTGAATTTAAAGAGCATTTTCCTCATAGGTATGTTCCAATTTAGAATAACTTTGAGAACTGTAAATGGAATACAAACATCAGCACTATAATTGTACTGAACTTGATGATCCTGCAAAGTTTTCACTGACTCTGCACACATTTTCTGATTCTAGCTTCTATTCTGACCCTTTCCCAGCTGTCCCTCATATCTCTGTTACAAGAATGCAAGCATCTGTCACGAGCTCTCCTCCCCACAGAGAATGAAGTCCATACAACGAAGAGGATAAAGAAAAGAGGCAGGATGTGATGATATTCCTTTTTGTCTGATACCTGTGTTCTTTTGTTGATAGTAGATTTCTATTAGGAGGCCTCCTTTCTTTCAGGATCATCTATCCACTCATTCATTCAAGAAATGGTACTTACCACTGAATGAATAGGCCCAATGCTAGGGGGAAAAGGAGTTTATAATTTGGTAATAGGGGGAAAAAAAAGTCAGGAAGAAAGTACTGTGTTTTATAAAGCAGATACAGAAAAGTCCCATGAAAGTTCCAATGAAGAAAATTAAGCTCAAGAAGGTAAACTAACTTGCTCAAGTTTACACACCTTGTAAATATTAGAGCTGAGATTTATTCCTCTTACATTTGATATCAGATGGAATAAATGGAGGAAATGAGATTCAAACCTAGTTCAGGATGGTACAAAACCCTGTGGTCTTCTACTACACTACGCCACGCTGCCTCCCATACGCTACTGCTTTAGTTATGTGAGAAGGGCAAACGGACCTGTACTGGCTTATCAGCAATGAAAATAAAAAGGATAAAGGGCAGCGGCAAGAAATAAATGCAGGACACACAATTAGCACAAGATGGCAACTGACTAAATGTGGAAAGAAAGGGAAAGAATGGAATTGAAGATGGCTTAAGGTTGGAGTCTGGGTAACTAGGAAAAGCAACTCAGGGGGAGGAATAGTCTTTATTCAGGGAGAGCTCTAATCCTTCAAAACTCTGCTCTCACGTCACCTCCTCGATGTAACCTTTTCTGACATCCTCAGGCCCATTATACAGTATTTTGTATTTCAACAATAATGATGATGATGGTAGCTAACGATTTTTTAATGCAAACTAGAGTGCCAAGCATGTACTAAGTTCCTTTTATTCCTAACAATAACCATATGAAGGAAATACTATTATTAACCCCATTTTACATAGGAGGAAACTGGGGCTTAGAGAGTCCTAAGGTTACAGATATTAAATGGCAGATCAGGATTTGAATTCAGGTTGGCCTCAGAGACAGCACTCTTAACAGAGGCAAAACAGTGCAATACCTAAGAACACAGGAAATGGGACCAAACTGGCTGGGTTTGAATCCTGCTCTGCCATTTACTAGCTGAGTGACCTGGGGCAAATTTTTGTGCCTCAATTTCATCATATCATCTGTGAAAGGGAGCCATAATAGTATCTGCCTCCTATTATTGTTGTGAGGATTAAATGAGTTCATATTTATAAAGCCCTTAGAAAAGTGCCTGGCACAAAGTAAGTATTAATCATTGCATGGGCTGGCCCTGTGGCTTAGCGGTTAAGTGCGCGCGCTCTGCTGCTGGCGGCCCGGGTTCAGATCCCGGGCGTGCACCGACGCACTGCTTCTCCGGCCATGCTGAGGCCGCGTCCCACATACAGCAACTAGAAGGATGTGCAACTATGACGTACAACTATCTACTGGGGCTTTGGGGGGAAAATAAATAAATAAATAAAACCTTTAAAAAAAAAATCATTGCACTCGTGTCTCTCTCTCTCTCTCTCTTATAATTATTTGAACTTTATTTCTCACTGAACTGTGAGTTCTAGGACGGGTAGCATGTCTGTTTCATTTTGCTATCCTCAGCACCTAGCACCATATCTGCCACATAGCAGGCCCTCAGCAAGCCTTTGCTGCCTGAATAGCATTATTCAGACAGCTTGAAATTCCATCTCTGAGCTTTGGAGAAGGGAGGTGGATGGAAAAATAGGTATGAGTCCCACACATAGACATTCAAGCCTGGCAATAGGCAGAACTGTCAAGGAAGAGAGCATGGACGGAAAAGAAATAGAACATTGGAGAAAGATTGATGGCAGGAGATGAAAGGAGACAGAAAAGGAGCTCTGATAGGATATACTTTCAAGGAAGCCATGAAAAAAGAGAGTTCAAGAGAACCAAGGTGAGTCCAGAGGAGAGGCTGTCTTAATGGTGGGGTATAAAAAATCAGTGGTTAGCAAGCAGCTGACTCTGAGGTTTAAGAAAAAAATTTTTTTGGTCACAGAGGAAGGAAATGATAGTCATTGTGTAATAGTTTTCTAAAACTTGGCAGGCTTTCAAATGTGGGTCCCTATCTGCCTTGCCAGGAAAGCTGAGAGAGTTAGGGAGCATTTGGATCACAAGGGAAAGGGAGGGGCTGGGCCTCTCCAAGGTGCTACTCTTCAACTAAATCGTAACGAAGTCAAGTTACAGCTTCACTCACAATGTGATAGAAAATTCAAATAAAACATCCATTTTCGCCCTTATTTCGTTTAGGCTGGTAAAGCAGGACTGATGATGTTTTTCCCAGGTACACAAAATTATCAGCATCAGGTTTTTGTCTGAAGTATCTCCCTTATTACACTTAAATCTCGGTAGGGTTCCACCACCCACGGAGACTGAATAACCGGTTTTCCTTTCCTGATATAGTTCCGGTTATCACAAACGACGTGGGATCCCTACTCCTCCTTAAAAGGACAAGAAAAGGAAATCTATATCAGTATTTGAGAAAGACATTTTTATAAATAATAGGTAGGCATCACTTTTGCACTTTAAAAAACGTATTCTTCAAAAATTTTGAGGAACGGAAAACCCTGAAGTGGTCAAATGGGCCCGCAGAAACCCACCAAACAAGATAAGAATTTACTTGCACCACATATGGTCTTACGGGGTCTTTTCCCGCTGTTAAATGGAGGAAAACAGACCCTGGACAGCTTTGGGATGGACTGAACCAAGTCCCTTTTTAAAGACTGGTTTTCCGTACTTAAGTGAAGGAGCCCCTGTTCAAGGCCCCACTCCGGGATCTAGCACCTTTAGCAAGCCGCTCCCCACGCTGGGGGGCAAATTTTCTTCTCTGTAAAATAAGGAAAAGGGGTGTGTGTGTTTAGAGGAGAGTGGATTTGAAGCGCTTTCAAGCTCCCCTCCAGCTCTCAGGTCATTTCATGATTTCTCCCCTTCCTATGCTACTTCCCTCGAGAAGTTGTGAAATAATTCTTTGGATATGAAAACAAAGCAGGCAGCCTTGCCTAGAGGATAAGCCTTAGGCAGAAAGAATCTGAAGGGCTCAGGAACCTAACGCCTCGAGCACCTGCATCGCCAAGCCACACAGCCGGCCTGCCCGGCGAGGAGTCGCAGCAGCGAAAACAAGATGGCGTCAGCGCGCTGGGTCTCGCCCTCGGCTCCGCGACTCCGCACTGCGGCAGCCGACTGAGGCCGCACCCCATTGGCCGACTGCAATGAGGTCATCGTAGGGGAGGAGACCGGCGGCGGCGCGGGGGCGGGGCTTAGTGGACGCACGCACGTCAAGGCGGCGCTACCCGGAGCCGAGAGGCTGCGGGCTTGGTCTGCGGCGGCTGCTGAGGCGGCGGCCGGGCCTGCGGCTGGAGGTGAGCGGGGGCTGTAGGCATAGTGCGGCAGGAAGCGGCCTCCGAGGAGCACAGGAAATTCTTCTGACAGCCCCCTCGCTTGTCAAAGGAATTAGCAGGGATCTTAGTTCTCTGAGAGAATGGAGGTTTATCCCTCTTCGGGGACCCCTCCTGTGGGCAGAGAAAGAGGAGGTTCACTCCCCTTCGGAGGCCCTGATCCCTTCCCCCATTTAAGGGGTAGGCGGAGGAACTGAAGGCTTTTGGGTAGGCAGAAGAATTTGGGGGGCTTCTTAAAGGGGCTTCCAATTTGAGGATTCCCCCCGCCTTTTATTCCCTGCTCCAGGAGGTAGGTGTGCCTGGGCTCGGAGAATTCCTGATTTCTCACGGGGTAGACAGGAGATGAAACAGGTGAATTTGAATACCTGTTAGGAGGCGAAAACTGGATGACAGTGGCGAGGCAGGGCGCGGAGGCGCTTTATTTGGACTCATCTTATGTAAAATTACTGTTTCTTCATATTTTGTTTTGTGACACACCCTCTCCCTCGAATCGCTTTGGCCTATTTAGTTTTCTGTTTGGCTCCAGTGTGATAGAGGTGTTCTAGGGAGACTTGTAATCATTAAAGAACAGAAGGAAGGAGGCAGCTCATTGCAGGCTGTCATTATCGGCAGCCTCTGAACTATGCTGATCAGGCATAATTTTGTGTTTGGAGATTGTGAAATCTATCATTGTTTGGGGGGGAGCGTGTGGGGAGCTGGTAACTGCTGTTGTGGATGATACAGGTAATAGTCTTCAAGTCAAGCTGCATAATCTCTTGAGAAATCCTTGCTATACCTGAATGTGGTGTTTTGCTGCCTTGAACATCAAATGCACAAAGGTTTTGTCACTCAAATTTCTCAAAATGTCTCCCAGCCTTCCAGAAGAATAACTCTTCCTTTGATGCCAGTTTCACCTATCATTGTGTATGCCCTCATGGTACTAAAAATACTGTGCGTTTTACTGACTTGAGATGCTGTACAGTCTGTGCCTTACAATAGATGATGGAGAATAAATAATTGCAGTTTCAGGACCACTGATAGCGCCAATTGTCTTCCATACCCGGCAACAAGCCAGCCCTAAAAGGAAAGAAACCTTTATGGGCTCATGCTGTGAGAACCTTTAACAGATGGAAGAATGGAATTAATCTTGAAGGTGGGGATAAGAACCAGAAAGCTGCGGAGGTGCAAAGCTTGTTCTCTGTGGCTTGAAAAAACTGCTTTGTCATTATCAATGTATTACTGTCATGCTTGACTTGAAATTGAGCTTAATATGCAAGACAGTTTTTTTTGTTGTTTGTTTGTTTTTTAAGATAATGCTAGTGTTTACATTCCTTAGCGAGAAAATGGTGTTTTCTGAGGAGTTTGGAAGGTTAAAGCCTTTAAGGTAGCTGTAGCTTTAGGGTAGTGCTGGGACTTTGGCTGTTAGAAATGGGCAGTAGAGGGTAGAAAACTAGTTGCAATGAAGACATCCTTTATGAGAGTGTAATTAATGTAGGTCTCCTCTTTTTGGTTCCTGACATGATTAAAAAAAAAAAAAAAAAAGAGCAATGTGGATGTCACTGCCTCATAATATTGTGTCCGTGATATTTAAAGAGCTGTTTAGGATTCCCGGTTCCTGTTTTTAATCTGGATACAGTCTTATGTATTGAGATGTCCCCAGATATTGTCATTTGATCCTGATGTTGACTGCAGAGGAAGTGACTTTTCATCAGGCACTCGGCAGGGGAGAGGATTCAATAATAGCCTTTGTAATTTCTCCTTTTCATCTTTCTAAGCAGGGTGTCAAAACAGTTGTTGAAGACCTGTCAGCATGGGGCGGAAGATATGAAGTGAAAAGGAAAGAGCCTTACTGGGGTATTGTTTGCTCTTAGTCCTCTTGGTAATTTCTAAGGTCATGTAATCTTCTCTTTTTGCCTTAGGTTGAAGAGAAATCCAGGTCCGCAGTTGACTGCTACTCTCTGCCACCATGGGGGAGCTTTTCCGGAGTGAGGAGATGACGCTGGCCCAGCTTTTTCTACAGTCAGAAGCTGCTTATTGTTGCGTCAGTGAATTAGGAGAACTCGGAAAGGTTCAGTTTCGTGATGTAAGTAGTTGTGGCTGCTTCTTGATAGCTGCTGAACTCTATTTGTCTTGTCTTGGCCAATTGCCTTATGAGGAATGTTTTGCTTTTTATTTGCAAAAATAACATTGTAGCTCTGGCTTGCTATTGGCAGAGTGTACACTTTGTGTTGTCTTTCTAGAGGTGAGAATGTTTTGTGCCAGTCCTTCACGCTTTTACTAGCCCCCCTTTGAGAATAGTCCTAAGTATTCTCAAGGTAATTGCTTGGGGTACAGGTAGAGGGCACCAAACTAACCTGTTCAAGGCTTGCACTTTGCTTTTGGGCTCCTTAACACCCCTAGCAGGATATTAAAAAAAAAATTGTCATAGTTCTTCCATACAATAGGACATATTTATTACAAAATTTGAAGCATCAGTTACAGATATATGGTGTATAAGTAAGCATATACTGAATACCCATTATTTTGAAGCATTATCCTGGGCACTTGGAGAAGATATCAAAAGAAAATGGACAGTCTAAGAGTAAAAAAATATGCCCTAGGGGGCTTACAGTCTGATCAGGAAGGCACAATATATGCTGCTGAAAGGAGGGGGGAGTTGACAGTTCCCTGTTGTGCATTCTCAAAGCACAACATACCTCTCATTGGTAGCACTCATTGTAGTCGTGATTTTACGTTCATCAGTGTGAGTAGCTGATTAAAGTCTCTCTCTTCTTCTATGATCTAAGCACCATGAAGACAGACATTCATTGTTGTATCTTTAGTGCCCACATATAAGATATTCAATCAGTATTTGTTGGAGTGAATGGATGGATGAAAGAGAAGTGGTCAGAAAGGGGTGAGATTGATCAATACTGGCTTCTACAGTCAGAAGCTGCTTATTGTTGCGTCAGTGAATTAGGAGAACTTGGAAAGGTTCAATTTCGTGATGTAAGTAGTTGTGGCTGCTTCTTGATTACTGCTGAACTCTATTTGTCTTGTCTTGGCCAATTGCCTTCTGATGAATGTTTTGCTTTTTATTTGCAAAAATAACATTGTTTCCGTAGAACTTCCTTTGAATTGGCAAGCTTTCAGGAAGTTCTCAGTCCGAGCTGAAATTGCACAAATATAATCCAGTAACGTGGTCTTATTCCTCATTCTCTTCAAACATTTTTATGCCGTCTCTCTTCTGATGTTCTCCTACCTAACTCTGATTTCTTCTCTTACCTTTCTGAGGACTCCTTATTATCGTCCACTAGCCTCTCTTTTATTTTCTCCTCCCCCTGCCCTCCATGTCAGTGCTCCCCAAGCTCTCTTCTCTGCTCTTTCTGGATAGGCTTCTCAACACCCACATCTTCCTTTATCACCTTTTTTGGTGATCTCATCGATTCTCAACTCTTCCATCTTTATACAGTGAGTCCCAATCTGTATCTCTGGCCCTCACCTCCCAAAAACCATCCCTGAATTTACAACTTTCTAAGATAGTTGTCGTCTCTGCTTTTCAAGCTCAGTATGTCTAAATTCCAACACCTTACCTTTTCACAAACTATTTCTTCATCCTGACTTTCTAAATTTGAGCTAATGCATCGATAGTCTTCCTATTTTCTAGACTTGAAAACTAGACAACCTACGTCACCCTTAATTTGCAATCCTTCATCTGGTCCTATGGTTTCTCCCTTCCTAACACCAATTGTGTCTATTCAGCATTCTTAACTTTTACTTATGATGTGTTTCAATCATACAAAAAATTATAGGGAATAATATAATGAATACCTATGTTTCTACTATCTACTTAAGTGATAAACATTCCACATATAATTGAAGGCTCCTGCGTATCCTTCCTCCATGCCATTTCTCTCCCCTCCTCCCCAGAGGTAACCTCTACAATGATTCTTACTTTTATCATTCCTACGTGTTTTTATTTTTTCTTTTTGCTGTGTATGTGTGTATCACTACATAATAGTATACAGTATAGTTTTTGATGTTTTAAACGTATATGCATGGTATCATATTGTATGTATCCTTTAGCAGGTGCTTTTTAAATTCAACATTTGTGAGATTTGACCATGTTGATGTAGATAGTGCTAGTTCATTCCTTTAAATTGCTATATAGTTCTTGTAAGAATATACACAGTCTATCTATCATTTTTTCTTTCTGAGGAACATTTGGGTTGATTGCAGCTCTTTGCTATTGCAGTGTTGCAGTGAAGATTCTTATATATGTCTCCTGGTATGCATGTGTGATAGTTCCTCCAGGACCGCAGTTTTCAACCTTTTTGGTCTAAGGACCTCTTTACACTCTTAAAAATTATTGAGGACCCCAAAGGGCCTTTATGTGAGTTATAGCTATCAATATTTACTGTATTGGAAATTAAAACTGATAAATTCTTTAATTATTTATTTATTAAACATTTAATAATTATAATAAACCTGCTAAATAACATTTTTAAGAAAAATAATTATATTTCCCAAAGCAAAACAAAAAAAAAAATAGAAGAGTGGCATTGCTTTTACATTTTTAAAAATCTTTTACTGTCTGAATTAGTAGAAGACAGCTAGATTCTCGTATTCATTTCTGCAGTCGGTCTGCTATGATGTACATCATGAGCCTCTGGAAAACTTTGCTGAACACTCATGAGAGAATGAGAATGAAAAGGGCACATGGTGTCTTAGTGTTACTGTGAAAATAGTATTAATCTCGCCAACCTGCTGCTGCTCCAGGGGCTATAGCTCCAGGGGCTATAACTAGGAGGGACATTGCTGAGTGTCGTGTGCATCTTTTTGTGTGTGTGTGAGGAAGATCAGCCCTGAACTAACATCCGTGCTAATCCTCTTCTTTTTGCTGAGGAAGACCGGCTCTGAGCTAACATCTATTGCCAATCCTCCTCCTTTTTTTTTCCCAAAGCCCCGGTAGATAGTTGTATGTCATAGTTGCACATCCTTCTAGTTGCTGTATGTGGGACGCGGCCCCAGCATGGCCGGAGAAGCAGTGTGTCGGTGCGAGCCCGGGATCCGAACCCGGGCCGCCAGTAGCAGAGCTCGCACACTTAACTGCTAAGCCACGGGGCCAGCCCTGTCGTGTGCATCTTTTAACTGTTAGATGTTCTCAAAGTGTACTCCACAACGAATGTACCTGTTCATGCTCCCATCGCTAGTTGAGCGTTCCTGTTGTTCCACAATTGGGTCGACACCTCTGTGCTCAGACTTAAAGAAATTTGCCAGTCTGATGGGTGTGAAGTGGTATCTTATTGTTGTTTTCATTTTCATTTTCTAGATTAGTACATTTGGTGTCTTTCTATCTGTTTATAGGGCATAATGGGTTTCATTTTCCGTGAATGTCTGTCCGTATCATTTGCCTGTTTTTCTGTTGGGTTTGCTTGTCTTTTGCTTATTGACTTGCAGGATTTGTAAAAGTTCTTCATGTATTCTGGAAGCTAATCTTTTTCTAATCCTTTTCTGATAACTTTCTCCAGGCTGTGGCTTGTCTTTTCCTTTTGTTTACGGTTATTTTGTCATACATAAAGTTTATTTTTCTTTTTTGAAAATTAGTGTTTTCTTTTTTCCTAAATTTTTATTTAGAAAAATTTCAAGCCTGAATACTCTTAGGTAAATTCACCAGTTGTTAACATTTTGCTACATTTGATGTAATCTTTTTTTACTGTATCGTTAGAGAGTACGCTGTTTCTTCCTTTCAAATCCTTATCCTTCTCTTTCTTTTTCTTATTTTATTATACACATTGGGACCTTCAGTAACATGTTGAAGAAGAGTAACAGCAAGCTAATACTGGTTAGGATTGTATTTAGCTGTACGTAACTGAAAACTCAAGTGATAGGGGTGTACTTTTCTCATGTAACATGAAGCCCAGCTTCACACTGCCATCAGTGTCCTAAGATTATTCTGTATCTGTTTGGCCATCCTTGAGCATTTAGCTTTTGTCCCTACAGATGACCACCACAGCTCCAGGAATTTCATTCATATTCTAGACAGCAAGGAGGAAGTGCAAGGAGGAAGGGGAAGTACTTATATCAGGTTAAAAAAAATTTTCACAGAAATCCTAGGCCGACTTTGCTAATTTATCGTTGACCAGAATTATGGCATAGTCTAGCTGCAAGGGAGTCTGGGAAATGTGGTTTTTCAACTGAACGGTTGCTGCCCTGAACAGAATTGGGGTTTTTATTAATAAGGAAGTAGGGCAGAATACTATGTATCTGTCACATGGCATTTCCTGTCTTGCTCCTGACTTTAAAGGGAGTCTTTTTCATGTTTCGCAGTTTAAATAAGATGTTTACTCTTAAGTTTTTGGAAAATTCTATTAGATTATGGAGATTCCTTTCAATTACTGATTTCCTGAAGTTACTGTCACAAATGGTTGTAGAATTTTATTGAATGCCTTTTCTTCATCTATTGAGGTTTTCGTGTTTTTTCTCCTTTAATCTATTAACTTGGTGAATTACATATCCAGATTTTTTCCTACTATTTTTTTAAACAGCTTTACTGAGATACCGTACAATTTTTCCATTTAAAGTGTACAATTCAGTGATTTTTAGTATATTCTCAAAGTTGTACAACCATCACCACGATCAATTTTAGAACATTTTCATTACCCAACAAGAAACCCTGTACCGGGCCGGCCCTGTGGCTTGGTGGTTAAGTGCGCGCACTGCAATGCTGGTGGCCTGGGTTCGGATCCCGGGTGCGCGTCGAGGCACCACTTCTCCGTCTATCCTGAGGCCGAGTCCCACATACAGCAACTAGAAGGATGTGCAGCTATGACATACAACTATCTACTGGGGCTTTGCGGGGAAAAAATAAAATAAAAAAAAAAAAAAGAAAAAAAGAAACCCTGTACCTATTAACAGTTACTCCCAGTTTCCTCCCAACCCCCCTCCCTCTGTTCTACCCCCTGGCAACCACTAATCTACTTTCTGTTTCTATGGATTTGCCTATTCAGGACATTTCATGTGAATGGAATAATACAATATGTAGTCTTTTGTGACTGGCTTCTTTCATTTAGCATAATGTTTTCAAGGTTCATCCATGTTGTA